TCCAATACGACAGTAAGCTATTAGGGCTTTCTCAAGTTATATATTGGAACGCATGCGGTAAGTATAGATCCATGGGCGCTTGCATTCAACCTCCGCAAATTAGGAACTACCTACTACATCTAGATCCCTCGTATGATTGAAATTGCAAGCCTGATACAGCCAAGACAGAAATGCCAAACGTGCACCTGATACATTTGGTCCACTAAACCATACCGTATAACTTAGCCGAGTGCTTATACCTAGTCTACCACGATGCCCTCTTTCTAAACCATGCAGTAAATACCAACCATTTTCGTATAGTTAGATTTACATTATTCACCGCTAGAAGTCCAAGAGATCTAGACATATCGGTATCATATTCCCTTCTCACCCAGGACACAGATTTATTCTTGACATGAGATTCAAACCCCTAGCTAATCAAAGGCCGACACGTTGTATTAATGCAACTCTATACTTTTCGACATAATCTCGGTTGCTCCAGATAAAGTAGTAACTAAGAGTAATTATCAGTAACATCGCGCTTCAAAAATGCAAAACGTCAAGGACCTGGATTTGAGGTAGACAATAATTAGACACTGAGGTTGTTGCTGTTGTTGCGCAAAGATCTCTAGAATCTCCAGAACCACCTTCGCAGACTATTAATCTGACTAGGTACAGAAGTATTTTGGCTGTGTGATCTCTGGTATGCAGGCGTGTGACACAAATACTGCCTATGCTGTTCTCATTCAATATTTATAGATTCAAAATAAACCCCGAGTATGAATTGGGTTAAGACTGACCTCCCACTGAATATGATTCTGTTCATATGATACTTGTCTCGGAAGGAAATGATTATGCTATCCTTCAATTGTGTACAAATGTTATAGAGATCTTACTACTCAACCTTATTAAATCCAATGACTTCCATCTAACCCGCCAAAGAAGCCGTTAGATCTAAATTAGATTCAGTGAACGTATAACGCACTCTAGGTGTCGTAAGCTATATCTTTACCACATATAACCACTTATAACGTGAGGGGTACATCTGCAAGTACTACTTGTCAGCGGAAATTTTGTCTCTACTTCTCTGGTTGGCCCGTCCCTGTGAGTGCATGTTTACTTAAAGCTATACCGCCAAGCTTAGTGAGGTAATCAAAATTTCTGCATTGGTAATAGGGCTCATTAAACATTATAGCTTATTTCGTCGCGTTTGTCTCCGTTCTTGGACGTATTCTACGAATCGTTTCATTAGAAAGGTCTGGTTGGTCAATAACCTCAAAAGATTTAGACCATTCGACCAGATTATGGCTAGGCAGAAGAGGCTTTAGCAGAATGGAAGACATCGAAAGGCTGGAACGGATGACTGGTTCCATCTCACGCGGTCTACTTATGCTTTTTAACGCTTTCTCAAGGCATCCGCCTGAAAATACATTCCTCTAAGTGCCCTCTCTAGTGAATAAACGCAAAAGGAGTTTATCTAAGCACGAACCTTATGACCTAGCTGTATATTGGGATGTGGTAGTATTTGTTGTCGAAAAGAGTCAATGAAGCATCACCTCGTTATTATGCAATCCGGTCATGACTTAGCGAACGATAACGAGGATCTTGATGCCATTAACATCGGTCCATCTCTCGTTAGTTCTATATTGGATCATGAGTTCGCCGAAGACATTGGGAAAATTCTCTCTATAGAAGGGAGACATGAGCATATCGGATGACTGAGAACTTTTGTACGAATGCTCTAACCCCCATGTCGCATCGCACCTAGAAGGCTTAAACAAGGATCACTACTACGAAGCCAACGTTTCCGATCTAATTCATAGTGTCTAGAACGCTATAACAGAAGCAAATCGAGACATTGAATCGGAACTCACTTACGAAAGCATGGTCTTACCTCGTCCATTGTGGCCTGCAGTCAACGATCAATATTGCATCCAAGCCTCTGTTGAGGATGGATTAGATACAGAAACCGCAGAACAGATTATTGCATCTGGTCCGATCGGGGGTTCAAACTAGGAAATCATATCAGCAGCCTTCCGCAACTAGTTACAAAATAAAAAAAGGTTATCAATTGACAGTATTGATATAGTATTTGCTGAATAATTATACAAAGTATACAATACTCTAATGCCCACTACACATAAAGAAGAATTCAACCACGTCGGTATTTATAGACTAGCTCTAATAGTTGTTTACCGATTTTTACGTTGCGAAGTATGCCAAAGTCACTAAAACTTTTCCTCAGATTTGGTTATACCTGGTTCAACTCCCATACTGGTTGCTTGCATTTCTTGCATACCCGTATCTTAAACGACCCAAAACCAAGGTATAAGCTTCTAAATCCTAGTGTCTACGTCGGCAAAATAAGATCTACGGCTTACGGTTCTACAATATGTACTACTCCTAAGCACTACACTAAGCCGGCAGATGCAACCCCTTATACTATGTGCCCTCGTCGCAAATTAACTTGAGCTTCGAAGTACCAACGAAACAACTTTGCTCTCTGCCGTACAAAAGAAGACACGAAAGATCTACCTAGTAACGTAAAGTTAATTCATTACTGTTCCTGTCGCAATGGCGAAGTATACGTGGACACTGACCCAAAGTGGGTAATTGGGCACAGCAAGAGGTACCTACATTCCCAAGGAACCAAATTGTAGATGTCGGCAAGGAGCTTGGAAACCCGAGAATGCATGACTAACTAAGTATGCCGAGGATTCTGTAAAGGTGGATGGATAGGTCTGTGTCATTGATAGATAGATAGTAGAATCAATCCACCGGGGTAGGTAGGTACTGTACCACACGGGGATGCGGCCGGGCAAATATGGCCGCCTGTAAGCCCAATACAATAAATACGTGGGTAGATAAATACCTTACTAGCTCTTATTCAATTCAATATAGGTACCAAAGAGATACAGGTAGCCAGTAATGAAGCAATCGCCATGAGATCTTATTATATATCAACCGTGTCGGTCAACGCCCCCATGCCATGCTGGCAGATATGCTGAGAAACGGGAAAAAAATTCTGAAGCTGGCCCGATTTGAACGGACAACCCCCGGGACTGGAATCCGATGCGCTACCGTTGCGCCACAGCTCCATGATGCATTGGCCGGTTAATAGGAGGCCATTCTAAGTCACTGGCCTATAGTGGAGGGAGGTAACTTAGTTCGGTGGGGCTCTAGTACCGCCACAATAAGTTGCAAAAACCAGCCACAATGGATATCTGGTTTTATTAGAAATAGCAGAGCAAATTGCTAAAAAGGGAAGTTAAACAAGCCTACCACAAATGTTAAATCTACAACAAAACATTGTTGCTCTAAAACATATGTCGTTTGTAGTTATTAGTAAATAAAGACATGTCACAAGGGCTTGTGTAGGGCTTGGAATAATATTTATTTAAGAGTAATGATCTTCAATGCAGTCAAGGGGGCCATGTAGATCTCTGGCTCCCCCTTTCCAAGGCGGGCGAATCGTAGTCTTTATGTCTGAATAGCCTCGCCCAAAGTCGGCGACTGGATCAATCAGATCATACTTTCCGATCTGATCTGATTTCTGTCATGACCACTGGCCCCGTAGACGGCGGGGCCGTCTACAGCTCGGAGGTGGTGTATAACGTACCGTAGCTCTGGGTATCCCACTTTGGGATATTGCTGGATCTTTGGGTCTATTGGCATAGTGGTTACAGGGCTGCCACTGTGACAATTTCACCCGAACCTCGTATCCGTAGTTTGCCGCCTCGAATATGATTATTTACATGGTATCGGGTGTCCCAAACGCTCGGGTACAGAATACGTACCCATACGTGTGACAAGACATTACTAACGTTTGACTTGCTATTATATACTGACCAAAGATCAACAGCTCATCGGTGGTCTCGTCAAAAACACTGGAGATTTTAGAAACGGCCCAACTAGCATATATTTGATATCTAGATCTTCGGTGCGAAGTTGAGCTGAAGTTTAATTCATGCTGCCCTGTAATCATAATCATAGACTGCTTTGTTTCCCACATCTTGATTGCTCCTCGCTAGCGTTTTATCTCTTCGGGGGACTGCAAATGAATAGTCTAAGATTGTTTAACACTTAAACTATAATGAGGTGGAATATATTGCCGCCTGGTTTACGCAATGATCTACCTACTTAGCTCACTATGGACCGCAATAATAATATTAATGTAGGTTCTTGTGACGGACTTGCCAAGCAGCAGGGAACAAACGTGCTGTTGAATAAATACGTAAGGAGTAAAAGGAAACCCTGCGAAGGAGCGGCGACCTAACTGCTATATATACACTCGTTACTGGCAACACGTACCTATACGGATCCGTACGGGTATAGCCCCTAACAACTACAGGGTAGGTCATCCGACCTAGCCTGTAGCATTTCTAAATGACTAATATAATTTTTGACATATATGTAGCGTTTAAGATATCCTTGATTTTAACCTCACCACTATGTCTTCCTGCTCTAGAGAAGTACAAAGAAAAGGTAGCCCAGGTGGAAATTGCAATACAATCATGATCTAGGCAAAGAAATATATCTACCAGGGGACGTGAGGGAAACAACCACGCCTTCTTCTAGTTCTTAATGAAACTCAGGCTTCACCATATGGCTGCCACAATTTCTTCTAATGCTCACGTTCTCTGGACTTGTGTTCCTTTCTCCATCTCACTATTTAGCATATTATCTAATTACTCATAGCTGGCTTATTCCATCATTCACGCCAGTGCGGCTAATTTAAAGAAACATGTACCTAGTTTGAGGTCAGGTAGGCATTACTATACCCCTGTGCAAGAGTTGTCTCTTGATGTTAAAGGTTTTCTCTCTTAGCCCTTTCACGTGACATAAACTTTTAAAACCCTCACGCTAGTGGACTGCAACATGCATCAAAGTGAAGTCAATTCAACTCTGTAGACAATGTTCTCTGTGAGGGCTAACGAAACAAACAGAGAACATTCACCCTGATGAAAAAATCCGCGTCTAACCTTGGATATTGGTGTGCTCCAACCATCTCTAGTAAATACGGCCTCGTGGCCCAATGGCAAGGCGTCTGACTACGATAGGAATTCTACAAAAATCCTTTAAAAATCAGGAGATTCTGGGTTCGACCCCCAGCGAGGTCAAATTTTTGGGATTTCATCTAGTACGTTCTTATCTTTAGGGGGGGGCAATAATTAATCTATTGTTTATTAATTACTCATCCAACCTTTTGCTCTGAATTATGATATTGGTTTATTCGTTATTGAGGATCTGCAAGCTATGTTAAAGAACAGTTTAAAAGGGGATCGTAGTAGGTCATAGTAGTGACAGCAACACTAAAACAACGGTGTTACATATAATACCACTTCCATGGAATAAAAAAGCACAGAGTGTATATAATCAAAAGCTGGCCTATGAAGGCGTAGGGTATTGTTGTACAACAGCGACACGACAGGGCGTTACTCGTCCCCCTAGCTAATTATTTCTTCAAGATCTTGACAGATGATCAGCTCGGTAAACGAGTTGAGAACTACCTAGATAGCTATAGCAAAGAAATAGGGGCTAGTTGTCGATGCAAGTGTGGCCACGAGAGCGTGTTTATCACACGTACCTAAGACTGGGCCGCGAGTACAGTCATATGATGCGAGACCTCGTACAAAGCTTTAGTTTTCATCAGCTCATCTATATTTACTCGATCCCATACATTACGCCGAGACACTTACACAAGAGCGAGACCGGGTCCGAATTAAGCAGAGAGAAGCGAGGCTCTTTGTGCATATATGCTGTAGATCCACCACCTGCCTGACTTTATGGCCCCCTTAACTCTGTAGGTGATTGTTAGTAATACGGATATTCTTCAACACTTTGTTGCAAAGCCCATGTTATATCATATCTGATGATGTGCCAACCTCCCCCCCACCTCCTCCCGTTAGAAAGGCAAGAAGATAGCAGACCAAGCATCTCCCGCCCTGCAAGTGAGCCGCCGCCCCGTGTTATAATAGAGCAAGAATTTCTCGATGCGGGGGGACCGGAACTTAAGGGAAATGACATCTGTCTAATCTCTATGAGCCCCCTCCTATAAAAAGGTGTCACAAGGCATATAGACAAATAGACTTCTATATATGTATCTAGGTTAGCCTACGTAGCCTTGATACCACACGCGCAACAACAAGAGTCTATAGCCTACCGTATACTGGGTTCGTGACAAAAGGCACACGAACATCTGCAAATACTGTACGATGCTTCCTGAGCGGAGAACTAGTCTTTATTATAAAGCCTGACAACTATATCTAGTCAACTAATTTGTCGGCGGATAGAACTGCAGTACTGAACCACAATACTACAAAAATACAACGTTATCAAAGTGGGTGCTTTGATGTTTGCCGTCACTTATGTGCCTGGTGGCTGAGGCCGTGATGTGACTCATCGAGAAAGTAAACATTGTCCTCCAAGATATAAGAATAGAATCAACAAGTAGGTAAGATCATAAACATAAATATAGCCAACATACATACAGAGAGATATGTATTGTACAGTAAATCCACCAAACAACGCAACATAGAAAGACGACGGTCACATGAGCAGAGCAACGAAAATAGCAAGTCAGCAAGATCAAATTTTCGCCTTCCTTCGCCCTGCACCACACCACATGACGCTAAAAAGAAAGCAGAATGCCTCCATGATATGATATAAATCGTATCGCTCTCACTGTCGTATGCTAATCGGCCACGTGTAAGAAAAAAGGTAAGCACCTGGCAATGCATTGAAATAGAGAGAGAAAACAGTATAAGGCACCGAGTTGCGATATTTGTTTGGATGAGGCGATAATCGACAACAGGATTCCAAAGCCGAGATCAAGAACTGAGAGCACCCGGAGACGTATCAATGCTCTTGGATAGGTTGCATGTTGTCGGCCTGGTGTATTGCCCATTCCGAGAAAAAAGAGTAATAATGAAATATGAGTGTACGCTTTGCACCGGATACTCCATAACTTCTCGTATCACTTATGACCTCTTTATTTCATTGGCACGAGTCATCGCCGTGCCAACCAACACTCGCAGTTTCTTCACAATGCCGTCTGCTTTTTACGATACCCCTAGAAAAGTGAACGCACTGCCTGGCGAAGCGAGATCAGTAAATGAAACGTATCAGCTACCAATATGACAGCTGTTGCCAGGACGCTGGCTTTGGTAGATGAGCGTAGAAACTCTCCTCACACCGAAGCCGATCCTTCGTCGGTTGGAACTGGTTCCTGTAACACATCCTCCTCCTCCGGGAGCAAGGGAGTAGCAACCCGAGGAGCCGTCTCCTCATCTGCCACGAGACCGAGCACAGAACTTGAGTTTGCACTTCCTTTTACCGGCTGTGGACTCAGTATTTGGGCTGGCTGCGCTAATACCAGCGCTTCAGATCCCGAAGGTACAGACCGAGGCGATAGTGCGCTGCTGTCTGGGCCACTACCACTCAGCCTTTTTAAGAGTTCTTCGCTATGCTGCGTAGCTAACTTCTGAAGCTGTGCCGCAGGATCCTTGTGAAACGCGCAGGGCGTTAGTGAATTAGCAACGACAGTCTGAGGCAGTCCACCTTCGGCCGTGCACACATACCCAATCGCTCTGACCGGGAACACCCACTGCGGAAGGCAGTGGCAGGCCGTTGTCGCCTTGGCCGGTGCCTGGACCACCGCCCCAGAACTTTGACCGGTGGATAGGCGCAGGCGTCACAGGCAGGCTGGGACGTTCGAGTTCAGTTGGGAAGTCGGTTACCTTGCTCCCTCTCCGTGGCCGTGTGATATCGTCTACGCTTTCACCAGGACCTGGCAAATTAATTGTGCCGGGGAACTTACGACTCCTGGACCTTCGATGCTTCTGCATGGAATCGACATACCGTTCGATTTCCGGTACATCATCCCACGCATTAGACCGTGAGAACGAAGTCCACGGATCGGCTAGCGAGATTTGGATAGTAGGGGTGGTGGGTGTCACTGGCTCGCTTTGTGGTTCCGCCGCAGTAGTGTCTGTCACAGAAGACTCAACCGTTGGTTCTGCCTCGAGCACAGGCTGTTGCTCACCAGAAGGCGCGTCTGAACCGCGCATCCCCGTTTCTTGAGGAACGTGAAGTGTTTCGTCGGCGAATATACGAGACGGCTTAGGTCTGTTGGCTTCCCAAGGAAAAATAGGCTTTAACGGTTCTGAGGGGGCCGCTGGGGCTTCCTTCGGAACTTCATAATACATGTCTTTTGGAGGGCTGGGGTAATGCCGAGGAGCGACAAAAGGGGCTGTGCTTTTCGACATTTCATATATTGTAGCAGGGAAATTAATGGCCTCAGGCTTCGACTGTGGCGGAGGTGGTTGCCTATCATATTGTCAGTAGCTGATACGCCATATCCACGGGAAAAGCTCACCGTTGAGCATCCCAGCTCGACATTGAGGGCTGGAATGGCGGGGGTTCCTGCTCTTCCTTAGGATGGGGTGGGGGTAAACCCTGAGCGTGAACCTGCTCCTTGCTAACTTCAGCTTGACTGTCCTCGTTATTTCTTACAGGCGAAACCACATCGCTGGAAATAAAACTAGAGGGCTCGTGCTGGCGCGTGCTGGTTTGGGGCGAGGGCGCTTCGTTAACCTGAACATCATGATGTTGAGCATCGTGATGTGGGTGGTGGTGCTGGCTGTGCACTATAGAGCTTGAAGTGTCATGGTGATGGTGCCGTACTTCGGGTTGCGGCGTTCTTAGGGCATTTTCGTAATTCTCATAGCCATGTGGCTTATTGAATGGCTCTATAAGCGAGCTCCTAGGTTGGTATTCTCCCTTGGTTAAGTATTGCACAAGTTCTGAAACCGGCCTGGTGGTCGTTACTACGCCGGAAGATTGGGTAGGTGGCAAAGACGTGAGCTGTGGTGACTTAAAAAGAGTAAGCAAGATATTCTATACACGGCCATGGAGCGTGAAGAGCGACTTACGGCAACCCGGTAATGCCTATCGTAGACTGCCCACCATCTCCCTGTCATCTCGTCGAACGGTGAGCTTCCGATGCTCGCATGCCGTCCCCCAAACCACGGCTTGTCCGAGCCGATGAAATGTACCATGTTGATACTTGATTGAAAGTGGCGGTAGGCGGGTATGTACTGGTAATGAGCTGATGGGGTAACGTTGTAGGCGAAACTTATACGATTGTAGTTGTTACGAAAATGCGTGTTTATAAGCCCCTGGTCGGCTCCGTCGAACGATATACCCCGTTCAGCCATAGCCATCATAGCATAATAGTCGCCCATATTGGGGGTTAGAACCATGACACCCGTGTTGAAGAGATCGGGCCATCCGATGTCTGGGGCTGCCGAGAACGGGTGTGCGATGTCGAAGAGCTCATCGGGGGCTCGATAGGCGACGACATCGGCGTCTATGTAGACGATCTTGCGAAACTGGGTCAGGTTCCAAAGGTTGACCTTGGTCAAGGCAGAGTGTAGGTCGGTTCGGTTCATTAACTGCAAATTGGCGGGCTGCGTATTGAGGATTCGAGGCACGGGAATAACATAATGATAGACAGACTGGCAAGCGGAATCAGCGCGCGATATTCAGCTGCCGACTTATTAAAATGACGAGCTCACCTTGAGCTCGGTGATAGCTTCAGCAGAGACGGTGTCGAGGGTGACGAGTGCGACCAGCTTCTTCGTCGTACCGGCGTCGCGCAGAGAATGCGCCAGAACCAGCGCACCTGGATAAACGGCGTCAGAAGTTGTATCGTAAGCAAGTTAATTGGGGCTGGAGACCCTACCAGGCAAGTATGTGTCGGTTAATAATAGCTATTGACATACACGATTAGATACCTGGATGTTGGCGCGAGTGCGGCTTCTCATGATGATAGGTAGTGATTGACGAACCGTAGCATACACGTCCTCTCCTCCAGCTCCTCCTCCAGCCTGTCCAGCCATTGCGCGCGCAAGGAAAGCTGACAAGCCACGTCGTAGAATCTAGGACGATCGGAGAGGACAAGCCGCTATAGGGAAGGGTTCGGTAAAAATGAGCGTCGATATTTAGGATTGTTTAGATGCTGCCGAGGTAGAGGCGATATTAGTAAGGAGGGAAGCAATACAACAAAACCAATGTTCGATTCGTATATTCAACATGTGTATCAACGCGAATCAGAACA